AGGGAAGAGAAAAAGGGGATGAAGCAAAATGAACGACTGTATGTGTGTATGTTGTGTGAGAGAGAGAATGAAGTAGAGAGAGAGAGAGAGAGAGAGAGAGAGAGAGAGACAGAGACAGAGACAGAGACAGAGACAGAGACAGAGACAGAGAGGGGAGGAGGGTCGGAGGAGAGATGGGGAGAGTAAAGGGGGAAGGGTAAAGGGAGAAGTCGAGAGAAAGAGAGTAAGGAGAGAGACATGCATACATACATCATACACCCAACCATGCATACAGACAGGCAGACAGGTAGACAAACAGACAGATAGACAGAGAGAGAGACGGAGAGACATACATGCATACATACGTACAGATACGCATACAGACAGACAAACAGACAGTCTGACAGACAGACAGACAGACAGACAGACAGACAGACAAATACACAGACAGACACACAGACAGACAAATAGACAGACAAATAGACAGAAAAACAGACAGAAAGACAGACACACAGACAGGCACACAGACAGACACACAGACTAACAAACAGCAAGCAGACAGACAGACAGACAGACAGACAGACAGACAGACAGACACTTTTTTTACCACAATTGACATACACACAGAAAAAGCTGTCTAATTAATTAAGTAGATCTATCTCTCACCTTGACCAGATGGGCTGAAGACACTCCATGCACCGACAGCAACAACACAACCACGCAAACGAGCACAGCGGGTGACGTCCTCATGACGCTACCACCTCCTAGCAAACGTCCCACACGGCCGTAGTTCGAATCCGAGAAAGTCACAGAATTCACACGGAAGCAGCAGCCACTGGGTGGAGTAGTAGTAGTAGTAGCGGTGGTGGCGGTGGTGGTGGTGGTGGAAGTGGAAGATAGTCCTAACGGTTCGCCAGCGCGCAGTCGAGACTGCGCCTGCATTCTTCGCTTCGATCTCTCCGTTGCGGCGACCTTCAACGTTCGTGTCGTGCGTGGCGCTTCTTTTCGCTGGGTAAGTGGGTCCGATTCCGCTGGATGTTACTGCTGCTGCTGCTGCTGCTGCTGCTGCTGCTGCTGCTGCTGCTGCTCAATGAACGAGCGTGGTTTTTACCGCGCCACTCTGTCCGTTTCTTCCCCGTCCCTCCTCCTTCTCCTCTTTCTCCTTCTCCTCCTTCTACTTCCTTTTCTTCTTCTTCTTCTTCTTCGTCCCTTCTTTCTTCCTCAGCGGAGTAGAATTATTTTCGGTATCTGCACCTGGTTCTTGTGTTTTGAGCAGTCTCTCTCCTGTTTGCTACAATACGTCAGAGGGAAGAGTAGGTAGAACGAAACATTACGTGATTTCTACACCCGGTGAGATATGTGGTAGGTTACTATGAAGGCCGTACTCTCGCTCGAACACAGACTCGTATACACATAGAATAACCTACAAAGGTAACAGATTTTTTTTTCTCCGCTTGAGTCGGATCGCGAAAACTATCTGTTCGTATTATATTACTTTTATTATTTACGTTCCAGTTTTTCTCTCTCTCTCTCTCTCTCTGTCTCTCTCTCTCTCTCTCTCTCTCTCTCTTTCTTTCCCTCCTACCTCTCCACCCAT